ATGTTTCAGCCCCATACAGAGCTATGCTCCATATGTATATATATATATATATATGACAGATATAAATGTAATCACTTTCATTTAAATTACAACAGCATTAAAATTAAGTTCCACATTTTAAAAGTTTTCCTTCCCATGGTGTCAAGACATTTATTTAACTCTTTCAGCACAAAAAGTATGAGAATCACTGTCCTAGACACACACAGGTGCAAATTTCTTTCTTGTTCTCCTACTGCACTATAGATATGAGCACAAACAGAACTAAAGTTACCCACCCAACTGAATGTTTAAAACATTTGGGAACAATATGTTACCCAGTGAAAAACAGAGGAAGTTTTAAGAGTACAACAATAAATTAGTTGAGATAAGGAGAAACTGGCAGACCAAGAGTCCATAACAATACAAGGAATTTTAGCTTCTTTGTCCATAGTCTGAACCATGTTTTCTACCCGGATGACTCGCTCTGGAGTTGACCCTTCTGGCCCCAATATCCTCCCCTCCTTCATTCCACCCCCCATGAGGCATCTGTGCTGTGACTCATTTACCATTATCCCATCATTCCATGTGATTTCCCCTTCCTCCCTTGTGTAGAAAGGAAGACCTCTATTGAGGTGCATAGTGATATGAAGGCAGTCTTTGCTTGCCAGCAGTTGGGTGAAGTGGGTCGCTAGATTCTGTTTCGCCAGGTCTTTCCAAATTGTGTTTGGACTCTTTGCTCTGGCCGTTGAGGGCAAGGGGCCTCCATGTTGTAACAGTAAGTTTTCCATTTTGGAATGTTGCAATGAGAGCTTTTGTTTGATATTATATTATTATTTGTTTGGATCTGCTACTGCTTCATTTAGTGTTGCTGTATGACCACAAATAGGGTAACATTGCCAACTGGGCTGACTTGCAATGTTATACGAGTTTTGGTCATTTTCTAGGTCTGGGGTAGGTAGACAGCCGTGTGGTTACTTTATATATTATTTCTATTTATCCCCCCTCCATTCTGGACCAACCAAGGTGGCCGAGGGCATTGTTTGCTGCAAATGCATATTTCAGTATTGTTATTTATTATTATTATTATTTGTTACTGTTATTGCATGCCACGAATTTAGGGTTAACTATTATTAAATACTTGTTATTTTGGACATTCACTCTTTTCTTGCTTAAAGATAAGCTTGCACCCTCCATTCCACCTTCGAAGCACCATGAATGCAAGAACAGAACAAGGGATAAGTAGAGCTCCCATCCCCAAGTAGTAGTGGAAAGTAGGTAGAAAAGGGGAGGTGCTGCCGAAACCTATTCTGGTTGATGTAAAGTGCAATGTCCATCATATATCGAAATATTTTCAAAATACATATACAGCCACAGAAATACTTACTTCATATCTAAACCTCCTGTAACAGCTCGTTTTCCATCCGAAAATACAGAAACTGATAAGACACTATCATCATGTTCACATACTGAACTCAATGACTCAAAATGGAAGGTATGCTCGCCTGGTGACTCAGAGAGACCCAATACTTGCACCACACCAGAGTCCTCACCAATAATGACCTTATAACAGAAGAGAAATGTGCACTGATTTATACACACACATCCTCTCAGTGTAACACACTTGGGTTCTGAACCCCTATAACTTGAATTATGCCAATAACACTGAATTTCGAACACTGGTGTCGTCAGGATCCTTCTGGCAGTTAGCATGATGTCTGATGCAATTTGAACACAGCGGCATATACCACAAGCTGTGTTGACACTGATACTGAACTTTGGAAATATTGAAACGCCTATACCAAAGTAATACCTTTTACATATGATTAAACTCAGTTTCTCCACTTTAAAAACTTAGCAAAACACAAATTACAACATGAAGCGCCTTCTATTTAATTAATTTAAATGAATACCCTGACATGTTTCTTCCACAAAGTATCAACATCAGGGGTCACTGCTACTGTGACTATTGACAGCATAATACGAGGGCGGATTATAATTTTATAAACGTTTTGAACATATATGTAATATAATAATCAGTTTATTATAACTAGGGCCCGGATTTCTATGACATGTCATATTTTTTTCCTAGGGTTTATTCCTATTTTTAAATGTAATTATGCATGTTTCCAGTCATTCTTATTGAAATTATGTCGTTTTTATTGTGCATATAAATGCATATTTTAGAGTTTTTTTGGTTTTACAGCATATTTTGGCATAATTTTGAAATAAGGTCATATTTTTGTCATTTTAGAAACAATTCTTTGATATAATGTAAAATTTCGGTTCCATAATGTTTAGTATTACAAAATAAATTCCAGGCTGGACTGTTGCTTCAATGTGGAATAGAGTTCAAGTACATGAAGTTCGTATTAAAAACCATATTTTTGACTGGACTGTACTTGCAGTTACAAAGGCGAAAATTTGTGAAATGTAGCATTTATGACCTGGCAAGCC